GGTAAAAATCTGTTTAACAACTTGTTAAAATAGACCAGAATGCAGGAAATGGCATCTACTTCTTTAAAATTTTTCTGGGGTAGGATCCCCAGACCCCCCCACCAGTTGGTCCCCCCAACATTACAAATACTTACTCTTGTTTTTTGTCTCTGAATGTCATAAAATCAGTGATATTATCTGTGAAATTACAAACTGAACATCTGTTGGCAAATCCATAGCTTTATATTGCCATAGTTTTCAATTAGTCATTTTTACAAACACATCATAAATTTATCTGTTATAAATATTAGTTTTGGTGTGCCACCCCTGGTTTTTCAGTGCCCCCCCCACCCCATGGCCCCCCTGAAAAATTTTTCTGCAGGCGCCACTGCTCATTACCTGTTCTCCCAATGCCAGCGCTGCAGTGGACCACCATTGGTGGTCCCAGTGGGTGGCCTGTCCACTGAGAGCCCAAAGCCTTCACCATCTTCCTCTGTTGTTTCTTTACAGCTCCTAGGAAGTCGATGAGAGTCACTGCTGAGGTGGGGACTCCGTAGTCGGGCCAGCTCAGGTACTGGAAATGACTCACATGTCTCTGTTCACATGTCTGCACACAGAAAAACAGATTTTTGTGCTGCATCCATTCAAAACAATGCATTATACTTGTGAAATAACAGCCGAACTGCACTCGTGAAGAAAGGAAGGTATTTATTTACCTTCATGTAAGAGTTACATGTATCACTGGCTTTACTAACACTTAATAAACTTCTGATTTTGAATTGTTTTCTTTGCAAATTAAGGCCAAGAAATCCAGTACAAGTTCAAGTGTTGCTACAAATTTCCAAGACCGCAACAGAAAATCCCTTTTTCCCCCCCGGTGGTGGAAATCCTTCGTGTTTTAAGACCTGCAGGTTGATCAAAAATTTACATCCAAGTCAAATTCTGTTTGTTACCTTTTACTACCTTTCACTGGCCTAAATTTGAGCTCTTTTAATTTACAACCTTTTACTACCTTTTACCACCCCGTGGCAACTTGCTTTGAAACAAAAGGCCTTTCTTTCAGATTTTGAATGACGTTATTTTGTACAATTTGTTTACCTTCCGATTGAACTGCTTGATGTTTGAACTGTGTTTGGTGGATGTGTTTTACAAGATTCCAGCCAAGATTCTGACGTTTCTGTTGATACCAAACATGTCCATATTCCACTGGCAGATCTTAACAGAAGTTAAATTTAAAAGAAAACAGGAAACGCTGTTTTGTCCACAGAACCTCAACAGGTTATAAAACATCCTGAACTGAACCTAAAGTTACCCTGCTGAGCTGCTAATCCTGAGTTAGCTGTGTTGAAGTACTTTATTCATCTTAATTCAGTTTTTTTCAGCTGTAATGTTATTTATAAACACATGTGGTCAGAACTCTTTATACCAGTGGTTCCCAAAGCTGGGGTCAAGACACAAAGTGGGGTCCTGAAAAGATTTTCTGAATTAATTATATTTTTACCTTAGTTGTTACAAATGAGTGTATTTAAAATGGATTAATGTAGTATAAAAAAATATTGTTACTATGCCCATGTTTAGTTGACCTGATACAAATGTTTATCATATAAAACAGTTGGGGGGCTCAGGTCTCTGCTGCTGTTATTTTGTGGGTCAAAAGCTGAAAAGTCTGGGAACCACTGCACTTTGGTTCCCAAAGTTGGGCTTGGGACCCAATTATGGGTCAT